AACTGTAGCTAAAACATAAACAGTAAAACAGGAGCTAGCAAAATATCTAAAAGGGTGAATGCAAAAACTGAAATCAAGAAAACAGTCAAAAAAATAAGCAAAACTAAAAGCTAAAACAAATTAATATTAGCTAAAAGAAGCAGAACCCCAGATAAAAGCTAAATTTAACAAGAATTGGACATTGTAGCAAAAGGCTAAATGGCTAAAAGTGGCAAAATGAGCAAAATTATCTTTAGGATGCTAAAGCTAAAATCTGGTAAACATTAACTAAAATTAAATAAACTGTAGCTAAATTATGCTAAAATTAGCTAAACTAAAAGGGAAAAACGCAGTAAAGCTAAAAACCAGTCTGCAAACGCTGAGTTTATTTTTGGGCTGACAGAAATGAACCGATCAGGCGTATTGATACGTTCCTCACACAAACACTGGCGTAAGAACACAGGTGTTGTTCGGTTGATAAAACAGTGACAAACTAAACAAAGTGTCATCATGTGAAAGTGTAGAAGTTTAATATACGCTAACGTTGTGTTTTTTTCCACTGTGGTATGTTGTTTTTGAGAAAGAAAGCCATGTTTGTTAGCGATTAGCTTAGCCTGGATGAAGACTTGTCCTCCACACTGCGCTCTCTCAGACTGATGTTAAATTATCCATTTAGTGGTTGCTTTCAGAGAAACCTGCACCTAAACCGTCGTGTTTTCTCTCTTGCACTGAGTACCTGTGGATTACCTCTGATTGCATCACTGCAAATAAATAAATAAATAAATAAATAATTAAGACTCCAGTGAAAACAGGGTTTTGTCAATATTTGACATTCACGTAACACAAATCCCTTTTTTGTGTTGAATCAGGTTCTTGAAAAAACTTCATCGCAGCTTCTTATCTTTCATTCACAAAAATAAAAACAAACACAGCTCATTTTATTCCATCAGAGACAAACGTTTTTGTTTGTTTTTATCCAGAGTTTCACCCAGGAGAGCTTTTTTGTTTTGAAACTTCCTATTCAAAAGCTCATATTGTTCCTTGTTTCAGTGAGTGCCAAAGCTTTCCAGCTTGTTTATATTTATTTATTTATTTATTTATTTTTATTTTACAGCAACTCTACCAGGCAGGATGAGGTGGAATGAAAAAAATAAAATAAAACAACTAACAAGCACTTGTCAGTTCTCAGCCATCACCCTCCTGACAAGCCACTCTTGTGGACTTCTCTTATCTCGCCTCTCTCACACCTTGCAGTCATCTGAGAGCGCACACTCCATTGCATTTGTATGTGTTCATGTGTGAACGTGCGTGCGCCTGTGCACATGCGTGTGTGTGTGCGCACGCGCGTGTCAAAAACCCGACATGATCTTGTCTCTGGCGAAGGCCTTGGATCACCCGGTCCTGCTCACTCCAGACCTGACAGTGCAGCTGAACTAATCAATACGTCTCTGCAGTCAAAGGTGGGTTCTGCCACGAGGCCGCGGGGGTGCACTAATTGATGGAAACTCACCGCCGGCTAGCTCCATGCCCTGCGGCGCTGGAAGACGGGAAGTGAGGGCCTTCCAGTGAAATGGAAGGGGAAATGGAGGACAGAAAGGCCGAGATCACAGTCAGGAGGGGGAGAGATGTTTAGTTTTTCTTAGTTTTCTGTTTGTATGTTTAGCTTAGTGAAGGTCGATGTGCATGAGGCTGTTTGTTGAGTGACACACACACACACACGCACGCACGCACTTCTGCGTTCCGTGAGGAAATAATATTCAACACAGCGGTGGTTTTATACAGGTTTTAAACCTGTTGGTTTATTCATTTTTGGATGATTTTCAAGACAAAAAAAATCTAAAACTGAGTCAGTTTGACAAATAATGAGCTAATATKTGATGATAGTAGCTGAGAGTCATTCACAACACATACTTTGAGAGCTAAAAGTTTACGTAAAATGTATGAGATCACACATAACGTTATTTTCAGGATTAAACCAAAACGGCTAAAACTATCTCAGCGTGAGGTAATATGGTGGGCGATGTGCATTTCTTAAAAAAAGCTGAGTATTTTAATATTTTATTATAAATACTGAATTAATTTCATTTAAAAGTAAACAAATAAAAAAGGGTACCCCATTCCAAGAATAAATGCTGATTCAGCATTCAGACTGCCTTTTTCCTTTTAGGATTTAGGTAATATCCAGCTACTTTTAACTAGCCTACTGTCACTGTTAGCTTCTAGCTAGTCTTTTGATACTTTTTATTCTTCTACTTGTTCTGCTACTTTTAGCTCTGAACTAAAGTTTAACCACTTTTAGCTTTTAGCAACAGTTTTGCTTTTAGATTCTAGCTAGCGTTTAGCTACCTTTACGTATATAGTATTTGGCCATTTCTAGCATTTTGAAAGTTTTAACTAGCCTTTGACAATTTTAGCAGTTTTTTCTATTTTAAGCTAAACTTTACCTGCTTTAGCTAAAGTTTGTCTATTTTTATTTTAACAGGTTTGTTGCAACATTAGGGTTTTAGTTACCATTTTGCTGATTGTAGCTAGTCTTTTGCTAAGTTTAGCTTTTGKTTAGCTTTTTCTTTTTGGTAAACTAGCATTTGATGTCACTAAATTTTAGCTAACCCTACCAGCTCTATTTGTCACATAACTGGATTATTATGCTTGAATGTGGCTCAACCAGAGTGAAACAGGAAGTGAAATCAAAGGGGAACCCTTTAGGTTTTTATTATAACATTATTTGAACTCTGACTCTTCATCTCTGATAGAAACTCATAATAATCTACAGAAACATCAGATTCTTCTCTACAGTCTGTGTTCTTAACAGTGGTGGGATGTAACAAAGTACAAGTACTTTGTTGCTGTACTTAAAAACATTTTTATGTATCTATACTTGAAGTAAATTTAATCATGGGTACTTATTTATTTATTGTTTATTTGTATTTTTTTACTTTTGGCTTTTAGCTACAAATTTTCTGATTTTAACCAGTTGTTTGCTCATTTTAAGTAGCGTTTTACTACTTTTATCTACAGCTAGCTATTGATATTTTTTGTTTTTAGCTAACAATGTGACACTTCTAGCATTTGGATAGCATTTTGCTTCTTTGAACTAGCTATTGCCGTTTTTTTGTTACATTTAGTTTATGGCTAATTTATTTAGCTTTGGCTACTCTTGCTTAGCTAACTTTTTTATACTATTAGAGTTAGCGAACCTTTTGATGCTTTTAGTTAATATTTTGCTATTTTTTAAATGTTTTTATTTACTTTATGCTTTTAGCAACCACTTTGCTGACTTTAACCAGTCTTGCCAATTTTAGGTAATATTTCACTACTTTTAGCTTTTAGTTAGCTATTTATACTTAGCATTTAGCTTGTGTTTTGCTTCATTTAGTTTTACCATCTCAGTTTCAGCTTCTTTAATAAATGTAAGCCGTCACTAAGGGCTCAGCACAACACCGGATTTTCACAGAAAATACAGTTTCTTTACTTTGAAATTAGTGAACAAAAATGTGAAAAACAGAATTCGGCTGCTAAACAGGCTAATCAGTTGTTAAAAACCTGCTTTAGATTTAATGCTCATAAGAATAAATCTAACATGAACTTTAAGAGGATGTGAAAGTGCGTCCTGCTGCCAGTAATAAAACATAAGTGTTGCAGCTGAAATAAAGAGCTGGAGATGATCAGCCCAGAGAAAATGTGCAGCGACTTGTTCCTTGTTAAGGATATATTGTTATGGTGCAGCCGAAGCACRACCGGGATAATTAGCATAAATAATTGAGTAAAGGGGGAAATGGCAGGCAGAGCTGCACTCATSGCTGCCTAAATGTGCCTGAGAGATGCTGCAATGGACAGTCTGGCTAGCTCGCTAATTCGGCTTCTTTTTTATGTGGCACTGAATATTATCTTTATGTTTCCACCCGCTTGGCTTCGGCTCCTGTGAAACCTGGAAACAGCTCACGTTTTSTTTCTTGTCGTTAGCATTTATCAAATGTTTCATATCGATCCCRGAGAGCAGCTGAGAGTAAAAAGCTCTGAG